GGAATTTAAGTTTGAGTGATAAGACGGAAAGAAATTATTACTTAAAAGATCAAATTTGCCAATTGAATTTTGCAACTATGATTCAATTTTAGGAATTTGTTATTTTACTTTCAATTTTATTGATTTTTAATAAAATATTTTTAATTTTATTATTTTTATTAAAAATTAAAGAAATATAAAATATAATAACAAAATTCAATAAAATTTAAGGTAAATTATATCATGATTATAAACTATAATCATGGTTTTTAAATAATTATAATAATTAAAATTTTTAATTTAATCACTAAATTTGCAGTTTTTTTTGTTTGTCATTCAATTTTAAATTTCTAGATATGATACTGGCTGTGATAATGACACGTTGCTATCAGCGTCCAAGCAAAAATTGTCACGTATAAAATTTATTTTTCAAAGGTTTATAATACCACTTTAGCAATACTACACATAATATCAAATGATATGCCAATGTCACGTAACATATGATAATTGACGAGCATAACCATATTAATGTGCTGACAAAAACCAATGGTTAGATGATCAAAAAATATTTACTGCAAGTTTTAATATTTAAATGATTATTTTAAAAAATACGATTATAATTAAATGACGAATGATGTGATAAACAATTAAATGACGAATGGTGTATTTTATCATAAAACTTAAGTAGAATGACAAATTTTTTAATATCAAATCATAGTATAGGAACAATTGGTATCTTACCGTTAATTAATGTATGATTTCTTCCCTGGTTTTCTACGTTATCAGGCACAGACCACAGATAACTTTTCGTCTGCGAAAACATCCTGTTCCGTTATAAGCAAGGTCCTCGATTCCAGCTATGTCGCGGCCCACATACTAACACGTCAACATTAAATTTTCCAGGTGAATGAAGCAATTCCAGAAACGAAGCGGGAAAACTGAGAAGTAGAAATTTCATTGTGGTTCATGGAAATTTTTATATGGCTCACTTCTAACAAAACCACAAGTTGGTTTCCATAGGGATCATCCTTCGGTCCATCATAAAAACATTGAGGATACTGAACAAATGCGATTTCTCTTTCACTCTTGGAACCGAGAAGCTGAAACATTGGTTGACGAACGACTTGTGGATTGTTGGCAAACATATCACACAGTCAAAGTTTCAGCATGAAGGGCGTATTCGTCATCAAACCCTGACACTCTATTCTGTTTCTCAAACAAAAAATCCAAACTGATTTTGTTATAGCGTAAACTAATTTATTCGGCCCTAAAGGGGAATTTATCCTTTGTTAATTACCAGTACGTTCATGGCACCAGCTTTGAAATGATTTGGAATGTTTTGGGGGCTTTTCTCTTGGGGAAATGTAACCAAAATGGTATATCATCATCCGAAAACTTTGCTTGTTCTCTCCTAGGACGGATATTATTTCATATTTGGTTAAATATTAAAATTTTATAATTTTATATTTAAATTGAATTTTCATTTATTATTATTAATTGATTTTAAATAAATATTTAACATAATATCAAAACTCAAGTTTTATTTTACAAAACCTATGTTAAATTCCTTTGAATTTATCATATGATAATTATATCTACATATGATGGGTGAAATATATTAAAATGATAATATGTACAATTATAATATTATATCTTTATAATCTTATGTTTAAATTAGATTCTTTTTGTCCATTATCGATTTATTTTGGTATTAAATGCTTATCATTGATGATTTCAAATTTAATAACAAATTATAATAA